TTTGCATGAAAGGATGCAAAATCAGGCAAGTGTAAAAGGAGAATTTTGATAAATAAAATGGTTCTATCTATCTATCAAAAGATGAATTTTTAGTAACAAAGTTTGAGCTTTTGTTCACTGAGACTTGCCTTCCTTTCCTTGTGGCCATATGCACAGATTCACATTGATTTTCCTTGCTATATAGATTGCCCACTGGATGATATATTATCATTTTTCACAGGATGTTTTTATATGGAATGGCAATGTGTTTTCGTATTATGTAGTTGCCTTCATTCCATGTGCCCTGTGTTATACCCCAAGACAGCAACTTAGGAGTTCCAGTGCTGTTTCTGACTGTGGTCTAAAACACAGGCAATGAAATTAACACCACAGTTTGAAAACCTTGTTTTCTAATAACTATGTGCATATTAGATAGTCTCATGCCGCAGACCAAGATTTGGCATTAAGTGCTTACTTTTCCTCTATGGAAATGTCACAAGAAATTTTTATTAAAAATGCTCACTGCTTTTTCTGTTGGACACTCAGTAAATACACTCAGAACATCTAATTTGGAAGTTTGGTGCCATTGAAAAACATGTGGCTGGCAATTGAGAAGCAGGGGAAAATCACGTGGATTAAAGAAAGGAAATAAATTAAGAGCTGAGTTTTATAAATCTTGAGGGCTCATTGCACCTGGAATCATTTTCATGGTTGTGTGTACAATTGGGCTTTCTCCTTTTTAAAGTATCCTGGCTGCAGGATGAAAATCACCGTTTTGCATAAAATACTATACAAATCTTTTATTTGGTGACTAATTTTTTTTTCTTGTTAAGTACCAGGACATCTTTTGGTAGAGATTGCCAAATTCTTTTATTATACATCTTTGATTCTGGTCTGATTCTCTCTGTTTGTGTTTTCGTTAGTTTACTGAATAGACATAACTCAACCTTTGCTTTGTATTCTCAGAAAATTTGTGGAATTAATATATACTGAATTTGGTACAAACAATCTAAACAGTTTAAAAAGTTTTAGGACATTTAAAAAATGGTTTTGTGGACAGCATGCATTCTTATTTTGTCTCTATTACAACAGAAAAAAATCAATTTTTCCCTTTGTACTATGTTTAAGAAGAAAATGAAAGAGTAGTCAGATTTCCATATTTGAACTCCAAATTTATCACAACATGTTGCTAAATATTTTATAAGCATTATCCAGTAATATGAACATTTACTGGGCATTTAATGTACCAAACTGGCTGAAGCCTTTTACGTATATTAACTCACTGAATTTTCAAAAGGACCCTATTAGGAAAGAGTCTTGTTATTCCCATTTTACAGATGAGGAAACTAAAGCTGAAAGAATGTATAGCTCTTAACCATTATACTAGATTGCTTTCCTATACTACTCTATTATCTTACTCAATATTTGTAATATCCTCTAAGTTAGGCATAGTTATCCCCTTTTTACAAATGAATATATTGGAGACTCAGAGATTCAGTAAACTGCCTGAAGTCATGCAGCTGGGATGTGGTAGAGCATGAATTCAATCCATCACTAAGTGATGCCAAAGCTCATGTTTTCCCTATCACAAGTATGCTTTTGCTAGAAGGCTAAGTCAACGCCTTTAGACAGCGTGTCCTACACGCTGGGCAGGTCTGGGATCATGACCAGAAGGCAGTGTGGCAAGGGCACTGCAGTCTGCTCTGAACTGTAGCTTGTACACATGGTTCAAATTGGCCTCCTTACCCATGCTGCAAGGTCAGTCTCAGAATGAATTGAGAACTTTGGAGTGGTTGGCTTCCCAGAGTGGACATGCGCCTTCAGACAGACTCTTTGTGGAAATCCCGCTGGGACTTCCACATAGCACACATATTTGTAATGCCTTCTCCTGCCTCAGGCTACAAGGGTGCTTTGTAGTTAGAACCTAGTTCATTTTAGAATCCCATCTGGTCTTTGGTGGAGCACACTGGAGAAAGTGAACTATAGATTAACCTCCAAGACAGAAAATATTTTCATGGTTCCCATTTCCATAAGGTCACCAAAGTGTATGAGAATAGAATGCTTCACAGGAAGTAAAAATCCATACTCTCAGAAATATTCTTTCCTCTAGTTCTAACTTTATCTCTTCAGATCGAACTACATAAGAAGCTACAAGTAAAGTTCAGTGCAGTAAACATAACACGTTCTTGTGGCAGTAAGTTAAAGATAAAAGGCAACATATTTCAGGCTCTTCATGTTTCAGTCTTATAGAAATAAAATTTTATTCATCATCCACACAGATCTAATATTTTTATATTATAAAACTTCTTACCAATTTGAAGAGTGATAATGATCAAACAGAGTGAAATATATCCTTAGAGCCACTCTTCATATTGTTTTGTGAATACACATAAATACGCTGTCAAAATATAGCTTCCCCAAGTTTGCAGTATTTTCCAAATTTGTGGACACCATAAAGTTTGCAGGTCCAATTTTCTTTCGTAGGAGGAATTATCTCATTTATTGAGTGCCTAGCCTTTCCTTTCATAGAAGGTAAAGTTACTGTAACTTTATCTACAATTTGAATCCAACAAATGTTCATAAATGAAGTAATAGGAATCTGGCTTCTTGGTGATAGAGAGCCAGGAGCCTGCCATGGCCAGCTCTAAAATCTTAACCTTGTATTAACAGAGATATTCACTTCCTTTGTGTTTTAACCAGTTTTCTTGTCACTTTGACCAAAAAATCTGACAACAATGAGAGGAGGAAAGTTTATTTTGGCTCATGGTTTCAGAGATCTCAGTCCCAGATGACTATCTCCAAAACTCTGGGCCCACTGTAAGGCATAACATCATGGCAGAAGGGCATAATGGAAGAAAGCAGCTCAGGACATGGCAACAGGAAGCAGGGAAGTAGAGCTCCACTCACCAGGGACAAAATGTAAACCCCAAAGGCAAGCATCAGTGACCAGTCCCCTGCTGCCACACCCTACCTGCCTACAGTTAACATATAGTTAATCCATATTAGTGGATTAATCCAGTGATTAGGTTTAGGATCTCATAACTCAATCATTTCTCTTCTGAAAATTCTTGCATTGTCTCATACATAAGCTTTTGGGAGTCACCTAACGTCTCATCCATAACACTTTGCATGTACAAAAGTTAAAATAACAAAATTCTGAGAATAATACATAAAATAAATATGTAGAATACATGGGATCCTTTAGATGTTTCTTAACATATGAAACATATTAAAAGATATGAAGCATAACAAAATATATTCAATGACATTTCTAGAGAAAATATTTCAATGGTTCACACATCATTCATAAATAGTTACTGATATGGGTTGGATGTGGTATATTTTCCAGTGTGGTGAGGTTAAGAGATGGTGATACCTTTGAGGGGTGGGGCCTAGTGGGAGGACATTAGGTCATTGTAGATACTGCCTCCAGAAGGGATTAAGGTAGTTTTGCTGGATCCTGGTTAGTTCTTGAGAGAAAATTGTTATAAAGGAACAGAAGATTGACCCTTCCTAGTCCTTGGCTTCCTGTCTCACCATCTGATCTCTTGCATATGTTCCCATGATAATGCCATTTACCACGAGGGTCTCTCAAAGCCAGAGCCATGCTGGGCTGTTTGAAATTTCAACCTCCAAAACTGTTAACTAAATGTATCTCTATCCTGGATAAGTTACCCAGCCTCAAATATTATGTTTTAACAATGGAAAACAGACTAAAATAGGTACTGAGGTTCACAAAGCAAATTCTGTAAGTAATTCTCCATGGAGACAAGAAAATGTTGATTGTGTTTCTAAGGGTACAGATAAAAACACACCAAGGTAGAATTAAAGACTGATTTGTCAGAATTCCACCTTTCTGAAAAAAATTCTACAAACCCCCTCAAATTTCATAATTTAGATAGTCTACAACTTGTATCCATATAAATGAACATCCACTAAGGAACAGCGACCCTGAAGCCTATTAGCCAAGAATTCTCTTTTCTCTTTGTGACAATCAGTTGGCATTTCCTTCCTTGGGGGCCCTTTCTTCCATCTTACTTGGAACTATTTGTACCACTTCTCCTGATTTTCCAGTTTTTACCTCCCTAGTGTGGGTGTCCTGTAGTCACTGGAACAGCTTTGACATTGATTGTGAGAAAGGAGAAAAGAAGATTAAAGAAAGATCTATTGCTCTGTCCTATGTACCATCTTTCTTCAACCATGGTGGCTTCCTAAGATTCAGTAAGTGGGGCCATCAGTCACATTCCCAGCTTGTGAGTTCCCTTATCATTGTCTCAGTTCTTTTCCTGATTGCTTCTATGGTGCCCTACTGCCATAAAATGTTCAAAATGATATACCTTTTTTCTCTAGATTATAGGTAAATCTTGCTTTGAGCTTTTCCTAAGCATGGTCCTTGGCACAAGTCATTCCCTTTGCTCTCATAGTTATCTGTTTAATGTGCATTCTTTCTCTCCCTCTCTTTTGCTTCTTCCAAATCTCTTATCAAATGATCAGATCACATCAGTCGGTTTTCTCACTCCATCACTCTAAATTCCCCTTACTTCATTTTTTTTTTTCACAGTACTTAGATCACTTAGTGAGGTCAAGTGCTCTATTAACATTCTGTTCAATGTCTAGGATAGTGACTAGAACATGTGATAAACACTCAAAAAGTATTTATTAAATGCCTTGAATAAATAAACATCATATAACACTGTTTTGCAGTTTACAAAGTACTTTTGTATTTATTTAATCCACGCCTAACATTTACATTTATCAGTGAGAAATCTGATCATCCAATTTTTTAAAAAAGAAAAGCACAAAAAATTTAAGGCCCTGTGCTTCAGTTTTAAGAAGTAGGCAATTAGAAAAAGGGTCACTGCCTGAAACAGGTCAAATGGTATTTTACCATTGGAAATCCTTGGTAGGGTTTCTGTATCCCAGGGACTGGTTCCAACATTACAGCAAAACATTTGATGTTAAAAGGCATACAGTAATTTTATTTCAGGAAAATCATCAATCCAATTCACAAAAGACATAAATAAGAATAATAATTCCAGTTTATTAGTTTATTATGAGAAACAAGAGCTTGTTTAGAGAGCAGCCATTTCTGTCACCACTCATTACTTTCTTTCCCAACAGACACATTTTTTATGGGAAACAAAATTATAATTACAAAGTTGCTTTGTAAGCATGAGAACAAAGGATAAAGTGAGAATTGAATAATTTCAATAGTTGTGTCATCAACAGCTATAATAACCAATAGTAATAATAATCATAATAACAGCCACTATTATTGAACTTTTACTACATGCCAGGCATTGTGGTAATTTTCATGGATTTATGTTCATGTATTTTAAAACTGTTTTACAGATGAGGCTATAAAAGATCAGAAAGGTTAAATGACATAAAACCCCTGTCTCACACTGTCTTACCCGAGGGTGGTGCCTTGCCACAAGAGGGTGTATTTACAGGACAGAACAGTTCTCCCTGAATGATGCCATAGCCATTCTGCCAGTAGTAATTTTTCTGTTTTTCTTTTCTGTGCCTCCATTGAATATCATCACCTCTTTTTGACTTATTCTTTCTTTGGTTATGTCAAAAACCATAATGAGGTATTGAAGTCTGTCTGAGAACCATTCTGCCACTTGAAGTGAGACATCTGAATTCTGATACCAGAGTTAGGTCCTACTTTGGATTCCTCTTTGGGAGTTTAGCTTCTAGAAGATAATGCTTGTTCCTCATTCCTCGCATCTTCAGTTATATCATGTCTTGTGCACCTCAGTCTTGAGAATACTTCAGAAAATTCTCTGGCTTCACAGTAGAAGCATCTTGGAAACTTAAAGAATATTATTTTGAGGCCTAACAATAGACAATTGGACCAGTGTTAAAAAATATCTCCTTGGGTGATTTAAAAAGAAAAGTTGCTTACCTGAAATATGTCATATCCTTCAAAATCCAGATATAATGGGGGATGTTCTCTGGACTTTTTAGCTCAGCATTTGGTAGAAATGGTATGCTTACAATAGGCCATTAAATTGCCTTTATTCATGAGATCAAATTCTTCTTTAATTTTAATATAATTAAAACTCTTAATATAGAGTATTTCAGTGTCTTTGAGTCAATTATTATGTCTATTGGGCTTTTCAATATATAAGACAAATCTGGCCCGTTTTTCTGAGATATCAATTTTACTCAAGTATTTAGGAAAAGAATATTATTTTTGTTAAGATAAATTTAATTGTATTATAGATTTACTTTAAAAATTTGCATGAATTTTAGAGATTAATTACTAAGACTTGAGAGAAATTTCTTGTTGCAGTAACTTCAATTATGGTATGAATTGTTTCATCTTAACTGAGGCAGATAATAATTTACATTATTCTGTGCAGACAATATAGTAATAAAGCAAAGGCAAGAAGTGTAGGCTATCAGGGGAAAAAATGGAAAATGGGAATGAATTAGTGAAAAATTGGGGACCTCATGTATGTATTCATTTAGCAAGCAAATTATTCAACAGACATATGCACCAGAGCTGTCCTGAATCTGGAGATCGATTCTCAAAAGCTTGCAAGTTAGTTGGAAGAACCATGGTATAGGTATAATTACAGCAAGTGTGATCAGTGCTGGGAAAGAAGTATATATAGAGTGCAAATGCAGTGCAGAGTGCCAACCCTGATAACTTTAAACAAGTTAAGAGTAGGGATGAAAAACTAACAGAGATGATACCATATATTTGTATAGAACTTTTTTTATTTCAAAGCATTTTCACATAAATTATTTGGTGGTCCCCAAGCACTTTGAGGTAGAACAGATTATCTTAATAAATGAGGGAGAGATTTGTCAGGGTCACTTTTTCAGTCCATGCCCTGGTCTTCTGTGTCCAAACCCATTACATGTCCATGATATCATCTTCCATTCATGCCATTCAAATATGATGCCACTGATGCTAATTAGGAAATAGGAGAATTTTAATGTTGTTTTATTTTCCTTTTTAAAAAATATAAGTGTGAAGTGATTTTGGATAGAAACAAAATCTTTCACTTTTTAACATTTCTGTAACACCTGCATGATGCTACTTGACTGATTGATTTTGCCAGTATTAAAGGCTGATGAATAAAACTCCTGCCAATCACTGTTTTCTTGGTCTGAGGAAGATAACTTTTCTTCCTTTTGAAGTCCTCAAACAATCCTTTTCATATTTAAAGATTAAAGCCTGTCTCATTGGTTTCCTTTAAAAATATGTTTTCCAACTTGCGCTGTGTGTTATTATAACAAATAAAAACATTAGTAAAAGCTCTGAGTAAGCTTTTTCCTTTAGATAAGTGCTGTGCTACTAGAACATATGACATCATATTTGGCTCCAATGTTTGGAAGTGAAACAGTATAAAAGATGACAAGTTCTAGTAGCCACGTCATAACAGGAGATGAATTTGAAACAAGACTGACAAAATAAGGTTTGAGGAAACTGACTATTTTTTAAATGGTACATTTATCATGACAGTTTTGGGGTTAATCTCTGGCACCAGCACAAGGATGAAATGAGGTAATATTTGCACATGTTTGTGGATAAGATAACTAAAGGGGGGAAAGCCCATTTCCAGGCTAATGTGCAACTGAGATTATGTACTTGATGGCTGGAAACTGCTGTGTGATTAGGATAATACAGGGTCCAAATAATGCTGCTGGTGAAGTGCTGAGCAGGCACATTGAATCTGAAGGACTCTGAATAGGGCATGAAAAGAGGAGGAGGGGAAAGGAGTAGGCTAGGGCCCGCCAAGAGAAGGATCTGGAAAGTCAGAAATGGGAGGTAAACTACCAGCTCCCTCATAGAAATAACATGATAAGGATTAGTAATTAAAACTTCACTGAAAAGTGAAATCTGATGATGAAACTAGCTTAATGCTGTTCATGTATACATTAGGATATGAGAGGGGAGACTGTAACACTGACTTCCATTGCTTACAAACCAGATGTTATTACCATCAGAGAAATGTTCAGTGGTCTCTGGTGGACCCACTTTGTTTTGTCCTACAGCTTTGAGGAAGGGGAAAGAAAGCATTGTGCGGGATGTGTTGACTGAAGTGCACCATTAATTTTGTGTCTCCTATGTAAAAAGCACTTTTAAAGTGTGCCAAGGCATTTTAAGTGTTTCAACAACATGCTTTTGTGACAATAGAGAAGCAAGGGTACATTTTCATGATATCAATAAAAATATCACAGTAATTTACAGGGTTGAACTGAACTCTAAATTGGATCACAATGAAACTCTTTCAGAGTTAGGGGCAACTTTTGGTCCATGGAGATCAGAATAAACATGATCTCTGATTGTCTCTATGATCTGAAGTCCCAGTTGCCAGGGGGCTTGGGTTTAATGGAGCGCCCCATCTTTGGAATTCTCTTTTCCTCACCCAGCAGATCCCAGATTTACAAGCTTTGAGGTCTTCATAGGAAATAAAAAAGAAAGGCACATTTGTTTCTTTCTTAACTGGTGTAGGTTTCCAGATGGTATTAGAACTATTATTGGCTGAGAAGAAACACTTGTTTGTGTCTCAGTCTTGTACTTGGTTCTGCAGACTTGGCAAATGGCTCACTTTGAATATCTAAACAAATAAACAAAGCATTTCCAGGATTTGCTGACACTAAATATCTTATTCTTTTCAAATTTCCCCAGGAGCAAACACTAAAAGCCAACTCTAGTTTCTGTTCAGTTCAAAATTTGTTCAGAGCATTATACTGTAAGAATCCCATATGGATTGTCCTAATTATGGTGTCTGTGGATATAAGATTCCTTGGTTGTTTACTAGTGAGTTAGTTGCACATGGTAACAAGATAGGGACTTGTTAATTTAACTTCCTCAGTGACGTGCCTGAAGGGGCACTTTTACATCAATGTCACATTAAGTTTTGACTATTCAAAGCATGAGAGTAGGCTAGTATGCAAAGATGATTAGGATGAATTTTCTGACCTAAAAGTATCTATGAAATCAATAGTACACATCAATAGCCCATATACTGCATTTCAAATCTTTTACTTTAAGAGAAATAGTGAAGGAGGGAGTGATAGAAAGAGAGAAAGTGGTAGAAAGAGACAAATGGGTTTTGCCATCCAGATGTGTGTCAGTTCAAATTCTGGCCTCTTCTACTTCCTGACCTAGAGCGCGTCCTTTAACTCTTGGTTTCCATATAGGAATAGTGGGGAAATTGCAGTTACTTTACAGGGATATTACAAACACTAAATAGAATTCTGTATAAAAAGTGTCCAGCATATGCCTAATATATAAAAGGAGTTAAATAAATATTTTTTTGAAAAGCAATTAAGGATTCATATATGAGGGGATATATGGATCCCACTGCAAGTAAGTAGCCTTTAGGGAGAGTATTGAAGGACACACAGAATTTCATACTGGTGACTTGCAGAGCACTGTAGAGGAAGACAGAATAGCAAAGGGATAAGGAAGGAAGTATATTTGGGGAATAACATGCAGTTCAATTTGACCTAAGATAATACAAGGAAAAAAGCTTTGTGTAGGAATGGGCTAGAGATAAAGGTTCTGTAGCATCTCCAAATGCAATGTGAGGAATTATAATATTTTGTGAGGCAAAAACTATAAGTAGTCACAACATGTTATCCCCAAAGAAAATTGATCTTATATATTCACTGGATGACAGTCAGGGTAAGCAGAGGTCAGAAAACTGGTTTGGACAATTTTAGAATGACTCAGAAAAGAAATGAATGTCATACAGCTGTGGCAGAGGAAAGGATAAGACTCCCTCAGTCCCAGACTCTGAGAATATAACCAGTCCCTGAAAAGAATGTGTCTAATATAAGAATGCATACTGAGTAAATAAGGAAGACAGACAAAGAGGAATGGCCAAAAAAGAGTAACAACCATAGGAGAGGAAAAGATAAGTAAAAATGGGGAAGGAAGTGAAGAGAAAAAATGAGAGGGATGTTTTGGAACAGCTTGAGCTCATTCACAAGCAGGGATGTGGAATTGTAGCCATTAAAAATTAGATTAACACTTCCCTTCTTTTTTCTTTCACCCTGAAGCCCTCACCCCATGCACTGCCCTTCATAAATAATACTTGATGAAGATGGTGATGATGTGTCCTCTTCATGTTAATCCAGGCAGTTCTCAGTTATGAATGGATTTGGTTCCAAAAATCTGTTGTAAGTCAGTTGTTTGGCTATTGGAATGTATTTTTCCTTTGAGACAATGTAACACTCAGAGGTTAAATTCTCAAACTACTTCACAAAAGGCTATTTAATCCACAATGTGTCAGAATTACAGTGCTAATGTACTGCAGAATAGTAATTCCTTATAGGCATATTATAGACTTCTTCATGGTTTGCAAAGTGCTTTTGCATACATTTTTGAAAAATGGAACATCTCTGCATAATATTTTTTCCACGGAAAAAATGTGTTCCAAGTTTTAAATGCAGAGGCCAGTTACACATCCTCCACCCACTCTGGTTTCAGTGAAAAGACTTGGCTTCCCTCAAGGAGAGACTCCCACATTGCCCTTCCCAGAAATGGTCATTGCAAGGAACATCCTAAGGTGGGAGCAGGGAGACAGATAAGTATGGGTCAGGGCAGGAGACACCATGGTGAGAGCTGGACCATCACTGACTTCACAGTCCCAAGAGGGGATTTCAATCTAGATTCGGCCACTTACCAGCTGGTAGACTTATGTGAGTGTTCAGTCTCTCCTCCTGCTGAAAGAGGGTCACAATACCTGCCAGACGGGTTTCTGTAGTGTTTGAGATGAGATGTATGAGGGAGCACATAGCACAGTATACACATAGTGGATGCTCAAAGTTTTCACTGATGGGGCAGGGCAAGGGTTCAGGGAGTGGGAAGAGCTTCTGGTGGAGATATCTCCTGAGTGATTAACCAGTTTCCAGAGAAGGAGTCATAAAGGTTCCAGAAGCTGATTCTCCTTGATGACAGTGGCAGCATCAGCATCTGTTTCCACATCAATGTTGTGAAGACAACAATCAGAAAATGGTACCAGGGCTGGGTTTTATTGGCACTGTCACATAGACCCCACATCTCAGTTGCTCAATACTGTGAAAGTCTAGAACTTGCTCACACTCACGTGAAGTTCCATGGCAGCTTTCCTCCATGATGTTTCAGTGATGTGTTTTTTTTTTTTTTTCCATCTGTGGCTCTGCCTAACTTCAAGACTTGGCCTGAAGCTGGTGGAAGAGGAAAGAAAAAGTGTTATTGTTGTATTGTGTATGGGAGGCTTTTCTGGGTCAGAACTGGAAGGGGCTCCTGTCCCTTCTAATTATAGATCAATGGCTAGCATCATGTGATCACATCAAACTGCAAAACATTGGAAAGCATAGTCTTACTACCTGCCCAGAAAGAAGAGAAAATAGTTTTGGTGGTCCATTAGCAGTCTCCAACAAATAGCTGCTTGTTGGTACAAATGATACTTTAGTGTCTCTCCTCTAAGAAAGTGTTTAAGCAGTGCCAAACTTTATAACATAAAGTAACTTCTTAACATTACTGATGGTGGTTTTTTTTTAATTTGTTCAAATTAGTTATATATGACAGTAGAATGCATTTTGACACATCATACATACATGGAGCATAACTTCTCATTCATCTAGTTGTACATGATGTAGAGTTATACCAGTTGTGTAATCACATATACACATAGGGTAATAGTGTTCTATTCATTCTACTGTCATTCCTACTCCCATACCTTTACTTTCCCTTCACTCCCCTCTGTCTAATCTAAAGGTACTGGTGGTGTTCAAAGACACAGACAGTCACTTTTCATGTGGTTCTATTCTTTCTTTCATTTTTTAAAAAAACAGATTCAATATTAGGATATTCAAGTCAAACCATGGCTCTTGTTGATTAAACCAGGTATCTAGATTCCAACCTTTTCTGGACAACCTCTGGAAAAGGTCTGGAAAAGGAATGGATTTTGGAGTCCCATCACTTCAGTAGGTCAAAGTACATTTTGGTGTTAGGTACAAGAGGTACATAAGTCATGGAATCCTCTTACAAGAAGCTTAAAAATCTAGTGATGGAGATAGAAACATAAATAAGGAATGCCAGTACAGTAGGATTAGCACAGTATTGCACATGTTCATGAGGTGATGACTTCTGAGAGTAAAAGGAGCTGGTAGTAAGTAAGCTCTACCTGGTAGCAGACAACCTTCTCCTAGGATTATAATCTGTAATATCACCAAAGTAAAGGGAAAAAGAGGCAAGTGAGGACATCCATTGGAATGGAGGTGAGGGTAGGCAGGAGCCAGCACACAAAGGATCTCATTAGCCATGGCAAGGGGATCAGTCACTCTCCTCTGGCTGACTAACTTCACTGATGCATAAGCCCAGTGAGCATGATTTAAGAATTTTGACAATTTATTTGCAAAAATGTCTTCCCAAAGGTCTCTATATAACAGAAACAGTAAGGAAGGTTGCAGATTATGTGCCATGTGTCCTTTAGGCTAGTAAAATTATTTGTTTTCCTAGAAGAATATTTCTCAAAGTCAACTTAAAGTACAAGTAAATGTATCCCATTGAAAGTTTGGGGGCATTCCAGGTTGCATTGATTTAAATATTGATTTATCAATCAACATTTATAAAACAGTTTGCTTTACCTACTCCAAAAAAATGGGCAAATAAATGGGACCATAGAAGAAAGGAGAACAAGAATCTGTAGAGTATGAACCAAGACATTTCAGTTACCCGTTAAATCTGGGATGCTTGGAGCATTTCTCAGTTTGTGAAGCACCTGTACATTAGAGTGGCTTTTGACTGTGGCTGCTCGTTATAATCACCTGGAAATGTTTAAAAAAATTTTGATGCCTAGCCTATACCCCAGAAAAATGAAAATCTCCAGAAGTGGAGCCAGGTACCAATCTTTTCTGAATCTCCCCTGTGGCTCTAATATGCAGCCCAGTTTGTGAAGCACAGGTCTATTAGATAGGATTACCTGTTATATAGAAATGACAAGTTCCAATGAATCAAATCAATTCATTTAAATCATATGCCAAGCACTGTGTCTGTTCCTGAGGGGGTACTGAGATACTGGTTCAGCATTCAAGTACATCACACTCCAGGAGAGGGGTTGGGCCTTCTTGGGGCTAGAGGAAGGGTAAAAGTTGAAGAGACTGGGCAAGTTTCCCGCAACAGGAGGTGTAGACCAAGAGTGAAACTTGTTTTGTTTCCTTGACTTCTTAATAATGCTATCCTATTCTTCAGGGTAAGGTAAGGTCTGATTCCTCTTTGGGTATTGCAAATGTACATCACTGAAAGGAAGAGAGGAAACTTCAAGGTAGATATTTGATAACAGTCATATTCTGTAACTGGAGAAACTGAATTATAAATCTTGAAGGACTCACTGGGAGGGATGCTAGACAGAGATTATAAGCCAGGAGAACCAGCTCCCATGCTATGTATAGCAGACCATAACTTTTGCCTATCTACTTTGGTTTCAACTAAGAACTTTTAAAAAAGGCAAATCAAGGATCCCTTTTTATAAAACTACTTAAAATCAACAATATCTTCATGGATAAAATGAATACAGTATTTACCTAAAACTTAAGAATAAATATTTTAAAAAAACTTATACAGTAAAATTTATTTAAAATTATTAAAAACACAGTATCTTGAACATACAATATATTTTTTCTCTTTAATGTTTATAACTAAAAAGCTCTGGTAGCCAATAACCTTATCCTAGGATTATAATCTGTAATATCACCAAAATATGAAGATACTTTTGACTCATCTGGTAACTGACGGATAAACCATATGAATACTCATCTCTTTATTTTATTTTACATTTCTTTCATGGGCTAGACTATTCTATACTTTTTCCAAACTAGGATCTATAATCATTATTTCTTTTCTCTTTATCACGTGGTTGTATGTCATGGATGGAGCACAAGCATTGAGCTCTGGTTCTGCTCAGTATGTCTCTGGGCCTGTGTTTCCTTGTCTGTGAAATGGTGACAGCATATGTTTGGTTGAGAAACTTGAGTATTGGGAGGACTAATTTTAACAAATGTGAAAACAAATGTGAAAGAGCCATATACAGGTTTTCATGTTTATTAAATGAATACTTGTAAATGAGTTGTAGAGACATGTGTTGCTCTTTAGCTGCTGAAGTACACATAGAATATGCATATAACATACTGATGCTCTTTTTTAATATTTATTTTTTAGGTGTAGATGGACACAACACAATGCCTTTATTTTTATGTGGTGCTGAGAATCGAACTCGGGTTTTGCCCATGCTAGGGGAGCGCTCTACCACTGAGCCACAATCCCAGCCCCATACTGATGCTTTTAAATGAATGTTGTTTGGACACCTTTTCCCATGCTCTGGAAGAAGTTGTAAGAGATTTGTACATAGTTCCTGCAACATCGATTGTGGGGATGGGGGGCAGATTTCTTTGTGAAACTTTGTCACTTTTTCTAAGTGAACAGAAGCTAAATCAGAAAACAACGTCACAGTAGCTTACAACAATTTTACATGTCCCACAACAATGTAAAACATAAGATAATTTCTATTATAACTTAGAGATCATAACTGGATTCTCCAATATTGTCATGACTAACATAAGATCAAAAGTTCACTTCTATAATTTAACATTTTAACTAATGAAATCCACTTACTTAGATCACATATAGAGTTAAATTTACATTGATCATACATAGTGTTAATATTTATAAAAGGCAATGACTTCTAGGTACCGTAGATAACAGGTAAACAACTTGTGTGAGTTTTTTCTCTGATTTGTCTCATATTAACAGTCCTTTCGAGTTGTTGCTGGTGTTTTAAATTAAAACATCAAGTCAGTTGATACATCTGGCCTTACTTGGTGGTTTCCTAACTTGCCAATGTTGTACCTTAAATGTACTTACGTTAATCATAGTTCAAAATAGCCACATCATTAAATAATCATTTTTTTTAAAGTTTATATTCTTAGAAATGGTACATACACCCGCTTCAGTTTTTGTTGTCAAGTCAGGGGCTGGGGTGGGAGTGGGAAGGAAAAGAGTGCCAAGTCTGCTTGCTGGGCCATGGGCTCATTCCCCAAGCTGTTTCATGTGAGCTTCAATTCTGTTGCCAACGGGAGAATGGAGATGCATGCGGCCACATTGTCGTCCTCTCCTGCCAGCTGCAAACCTCATCACAGTTCCTGTGAAGTACATTTCCACAGATCAGGTTTCTGCCAGGGAAGACTTTAACAATCTCCTACTCTGCTTTCAACCAACAACAATTAGTATTAACAAATGGCGCAGGCCACTGCCTAGGATTACATATGATTTCTATTCAAAAAAGACACACTTTTACTGGAACCAGACCCACATGCTGAACACTTGTGCTCCCCTCTTAGATATAATGAAGCTGAGACAGTTTCTATCTTTCATTTAAATAAGAAATCACTCTCACAACTTGAAATCAAGTTGGCTGTTTTCCCTTGGCTGGGTAAGCCATCTGGTAGGGGGGAACTTTTGGAGCACTTATGTCCAGGCCAGGAGTTTTTGGGAAAAAAAATCATTATCCTTTTGTCCTTTCATGCCTTATTCTTTTAATGTGGTCAAATGTTTTTTAAAAATATTTTCACAGCAGGTTTTTCTTTCTTACTTTCAGATAACACATATGGCAAATACATTAAATTCTTAATATATTTTACAGTCAAAATTTGCTCTTTCAGAGTGTGGATCAGAAAAGCACAAATCCTGATTGAGGTCTACTATGGCTCATGGTAAAACAATGAAGATTCAAAAGAGTTCATTCTCTTGGTCCACTACGTACCTTTGACCCTGCTAATATTGCTATGCTGTTTTCCATGATAGGGTATTCAAGGTAAAGAAGGGTCAATTTGCTGGGAGTGGTGGCATGTGCCTGCAATCCCAGTGGCTTAGGAGGCTAAGGCAGGAGGATTGCAAGTTCATAGCCAGCCTTAGCAACTTAGTGAAACCCTAAGCAACTTAGCGAGACCCGGTCTCAAAATAAAAAAATAAAAAAGGCTGGAGATGTGATCAAACACCCCTGGGTTCAATCCCTGGTACCAAAAAAGAAAAAAAAAAGTCAATTTTCTTGTTTCATTTCTATAAAGCTTATGATTGCCTATTAAAGGACATCCTTAGCATGTTCAGGGATTATACTGATTGTTTTCAGATAAATTCTTGAAAAATTGGTCTTGATGGGTGCTGTTGACCCAATCACTCTTGTGGTGTTTTCTTCATGGGCAAAGGCTGATTACACCAAAGTGTTAAGAAACCTATAGAGAACTACCACCCTACTCTAATAATTCTATTACGGTCCTTCAGCTTCACAGACAATTCAGTACTGAGTTTAAAGATTAAAGATTGCTGAAAATATCATTCCTATTTTACAGATAAGATAGTTAAATTTCAGAAAAATAAGACAATTTTTTTTCAAGCTCAGACAGGTCAGAGTGAAAAGGGTGCTAAAACCTGAATATACTTTTGGCCTTAAGAGTTTTACTTATTTTACCATGTTGTAAGGTATGAGTACTGCGTCTTTGAGTAATTTTTTATATCATAGTGACAATTGTAGAAAACCAGACATTTTAATAAAATTATGAAACAACATGGATCCTAATTAGGAACCTGTTGTTAGCTTAGGCAAAGAGCTTCTTTTAAGTCATCGAACAAGTAAATTTGTATGTAAAATGCATATTAATATGTATGCATACTACTCTAGAGTCATGAGGAATATTTATCTAATAGTCAACAAATCATTTATAAAGGAGTAGCTATAGACTGTGAAAAAACATTTGCAATACACATACTTGTTTACAAAATATAAAAACTGGAAAACTCAATAATAAAAAAATAATGCAATTAAAAATTGACAAAAACATAAACAGGTATTTCATTGAAGAGGATAATCAAATGGCATATAATCAAATGGCATATAAGAATATGAAAAAAAATCTAGCATTATTTGTTGTTAGAGAATTTCACATTAGAACCATAATAGGATACCTAAGAGATTGCCTATGCTGCAGAAATTTTATATATATATAAAATTTTTTAATTTGCAAAATAAAAATTATATATATATATAAAATTATATATATAATTTTTAAATTTGCAAAATAAATAGTGTTAACAAACAATAAAATAAATCTATTACTGTGTTACATATGATAAATGAGAGAATGAACAGTTACAACAAAAGCATTCCAACAATCTTCTCTCAAGAATATTATTGCTATTTTGTACATATGCTCTAGAATAAGTACCCTGAATACATTTAAACATTTGAATATTAAATTTCAAAATCCATCACCTTGATGTTGATTGCCTCAAGGAGAATGAAGAAGGAAAATCAGAGGTTAAGTCAATGGCATTGAAAGGCTATGTAATGGCTTTGTAATGTGTCAGTTTGGTTAGGCTGAACTAAATTTGTCAGAATCCTCTTTCTTGTGTAGCATGGGCCACAGGGAGGGATTCTTAGGAGATATGGAAATTGGTATTGAAGCAGCAAGACTTTTGCAGCTCATTTGCTGACTTACCATTGTCTTGAGGTAAAAGTGGGGTCTGAGACTGCTCTACCTTCTCCTGGATCCTCCTTCAGTTTCTCTGACTCCCTGGTCTGGTGTGTGTAGCTCTGGGATGGGGGAGGGTTATTTCTGCAGGACACTTGTATTAGGTTTCACAGCCACAGAGGTGAGGTGTGAAACAATTTCTTATCTTAGTCAACTGGTTAGATGTTTATCACCTACCTAGTGGGGATAAAACCAAGATATCTGCAAGCCCACCTTCATTTCTAGAGGCTTCCTAGAAATTAAATTTAGTTCATCCTTTCTTTGCACTTTTCAGCCTCTGGAGGCTGCCCACATGCTTTGGCTCATGGTTTTTCCTTCCACTGTCTTGAAAGCCAACAATGGCTGTTCCAGTCTTTCTTATAGATCATTACTCTGACACTGACTCTTCTGCCTCCTTCTTCCAATGTCAAGGAGCGTTAAGTTACATTGGGGTCACCCAGAGAAACCAGAATACACATCTCATCTTGAGGTTAGCTGATTTCAACCAACAACCATTGGTATTAGCAAGGGGTTCAGGCCACTATCTGCAATTACATATGATTTCTGTTAAAAGAAGATGAACTTTTACTGCAACCAGCCTCATATGTTAAACACTTGAGCTCCCCACTGTAGATGTAATGAAGTTGAGACAGTTTCTCTTTCATTTAATGTTTTAAAAAAATCACCCTCATATTTGAAATCAACATGGCTGTTTTCACTTCCATCCAAAATCCTACTTCCCCTTTGCTGCATACAGAACACATTCACAGGTTTCAGGGATTAGGGCATATTTTTTGGGGGGGCATCTACTACTCTGTTTTTGTTATCAAGGTCAAGTGCAACAGGAACTGGCATGGGTTTCAGTTGTTTTTGAAGGGTATTTCTAGCTCGAGCTTTTGATCCAAGTTTGTTCTTATTCCTCTCCACTTCGTATCCCTTTTCCTTCCCCCCCACTTTTTAAAATTTCATATTTTTAGTAAATTATTCATCAAAATAAAAAATTGGAAACAAACTTAAAAAATGGATTAAGAATTTCAGCTTCTGATAAATGTGGCATGAAATGAACACAAGTAACATAACTACATACATTGCAACTACATAAAAATTTATCTACAAATATTAAAGCAAGTGGCATAAATAGCTAATAGTTTCTTTTTCTGAATGTTTATCCTGTGGTCTTCAAGAGGCAGCATCAGCTACCGACAGGAGTCTTTCAAAGATTGCTTAATCAGCTCCTGTTGTTGCTTAGGGCTGATTCCCTGTAACAACTACCTATCTCTGCAAATCAATGTGTCTGTCTGTCTACCTGTGTGTCTACCCATCATCGATCTAATATCCAGTGGTTTATCTTCTCGGGTTGATCCCTGTGTGGTATAGTACTCAATTCATCCTCCAGTAACTGCAGGTATAAGGGAAATGAACTGATGTCATCATGACAAGGGGAGGTTAGAGTCAGTTTGGCACAAGGTCTACATTCAGAATCATTTCAGCTGTAGGGTCATCTCTACCTTTTCCTCTTTGATTACTTAGTTTCATAGTGCATTAGACCATAGTTAGTCACATGGGCATGCCTAGTTTCTAGGGGACATGAGAAGGATATGAGAAGGGTAATCCTTTATGTTCCTAGTAATGAAGAAGAAGGTGATACTGATGAATAGTAATAATGTCTACCACAAGAAAGGTAAAAGAGAAATATGTGACAATGAAGGAAATGAGAGACCATGGCTAGAAAACAAAAAGAGTAGTTACAAAAGATGAGCTCTGCTTGGATTTGCTTGGATCTCTCCTCTTTAAGTCCTAACAAGAGGCTGCCATGTCATCATCATTTATTTAGCCCTTTGCTTGTCTGGATGGGGAAAATAATTTTGGATTGTTCAAGGCTATAATGGCAATACTATCATTAAAAAAAGGAAAATTGTGGGGAATTTTTTATATAAACATTTTCATGATTTTCTTCTTTAAAATCCAGGTACAATGTGAAAAATACAAGGGATATTATGGAACTAAATACTTTAAATGTAAAAACACATTACCTACAGGCAAAAAACTTATTCCTTTAAGTACATCATATTAGGCAAGCAGACAATTATGGGAAATGAATTTGAACAACTTTGGGTGCAGGAGAAATCTCCAACTGTTTTTTATTAAGCAATGAAATTTTTTCATGAAAGAGGTGGGATTTAAGGTTCTTTTGTAAAGAATTAAGGAAAAAAAATTGTTTTTGGCAGGAGGCTCTTTTTCTCTAATGTATTGCAAATCGACTAGAAATATCTAGATTATTTCCTCTCCCTATTTTCTATCTTACGATCTGACTCTAAGTGGAATGTCGTGGTAGTTATGCAAGTGCAATCATATCATGTAGGCAGTTTAGAAAATATGGTAGTGTATGTATGTTCACAAAATTCCTGTAGAAATAATTGGTATAGACAAGTCTTTTCCTTGTGAAGTTCACAAAGAAACATTAGCAGTTACTCAGAACTGCCTGGAAATTTGACAGTCTGGAAAAATATTGAAATTTGGTGGATGTCTACTCTTCACATATTGAGAAAAGCATGTCCAATTTATCTTCTTGTTCAACTTCATTCAAAATTTCAGCATTTGCTGATCAGCTGGTGTGCTGATGTGGTTGCCAGAAC